GAAGAAGAAGAAGAAGAAGAAGAAGAAGAAACATAAAGCATGCTTGACCGTTAAAAGGTTTAATATTATTCTTTCTTCATTTGACAGTGTTTATTTTTACTGACTAAATGTTTAGAATTAAAAAACATAGTTATTAAATGATATCCATCTGGGTTGACTAAATAAAAAATGTAACGTTAAAAGAATGTCAAAATAGCTTTGTATTGGATAAAATAATTAGATAAATAATTGATCTGATGTTAACTTAATGACTGAATTCTAAAACTATGTCGAGAATTGCAGGCTCCGTTCTTGTCATACGAATTGGTGACCAAACACGCGTTTTCCCAATTTGTTAACGCAGTTTCCTGGTAACAAAAACTTGGTTGGCTCCTTTTAAGTTGTTTGAAAAAATAAAATTGAGGGGGGATTGTTTTTTAAAATATATTTTTTATTTAAAAATATATGAAAATAATTTATTTTTTAAAAAAAATTACTTTTAATATTAATATATCAAAAAAATGTAAAAAATAATTTTTTTTACTTTTTCATGAAATACCGTTTAAAACATTTAACGTAGAAAAAGCCTCTCATTCGAGGCCAAAGAAATAATGTGAACTTCACACATATTATTTTTTATACATTTTTGTTGAACGTTCTGCTAATAACCAACAATCCATTGCCAAACTTGAATAAGAAAAGAACCTAGGAAGCTCAACCATTAGGTAGAAAACAGTTAATTTATTTTCATTGAACAACTCTAAATCAAGTAACATTGCAGTCATAAGATAAGGTATCATGTTTGAGGAACAAAAACCTTTTACGATGCACTTTTACGTTCAATTTATAAACAAGAAAAAACCAAAAATAATTAATTATATATGGTCCCGCATCATATGATATTGGAATCACAATATTAATTATTAGTAACTACCTCTTTAAATTAAATAGTCTGTAGAATTAGTAGCATTTATTGAATAAAAAAAATAAAAAATAAGAGAGAAAGAAAAGAAAAAAAAACAAAGTAATTTATTTTTTTTTATTTCCAACTTGTTCATTATTGAATGGAGCTGAGATTTTACTAGTAATTTTTAGAAACGTTACTCTTCATTCTGAACGATTAGATTTAAAATTGATGGTGTAGAAGCTGACTATTTTAATAGAAAACGAGGTTGTTAGAATTGTAAGTTTTTCTTAAATACTTCTTCTTTAATCTTGTTATATTTCAAGAATTAGTTGTTCTTGATGATATGTATGTTGTAACCCTTAGTTGAATTAAAAAAAAAACAGTTGTGAACCCATTATTTATTAATAGTGAAAATTTTAGGTGGATTACAATACTATGATTTTTCCTGCATATAGTTTTTCATGTAAAAATTTTGATATTGATTTATATGATTGTTATTTTATATTTGTTGATTATTTGATTCTAATTTTAATTGCATAAAGAAAAAAAAGAATTGAAACTTATAAATTATAAATTAATCCAAGTAAATTGATGTCCAGTTATTTATTCCTAGTTTCCCAACATTAGCATATTAACATTTTACATGGTATTAATGGTAGCAACAAGATTACAATAATTACACAACATGAATCAGCAGCTATAATTCTTTTTTCCAAACACTTTGATGGTGCAATCAAGATTACAACTAACACCCAACATGAAGCAACAGCTATATTTCCCTCACCATTCAAAGAACTCAAGCATTGTTTTGCAACAGTTGCAGCCTATTCCTAGAACCCAGCATTTCTAAGAGCAATTCCAGGGAAACTTCATTTTTTTTTTTCTAATCTTTATACTAACTGATGCAAAGCTTCTTTTGGAAAAGTTTTCCAGATCATGGTGGCTTGGATCCTAAAATCACGAATACTTGTTATCATTGAATTTTATGCGCCTATACGAATTGCTTACGTCCTAGTCAAATAGATGGTGAGAAACTTGGTATCTCTAGCATTATTATAAAGAAAAGGCATTTTTCACATCTTTATAACATTACACCAGTCAATCAGCAATGAATGATCAACAATTTTTCTAATTATGAAATTATTATTTGTTGCCATATAAATTTCTGAGGTATTTCTTTACCTGGTAGCCGGTTTCACAAGCCCAAGACCATAGTTGGAGAAGAAAAAATGAGTTGAACAAGGATTTCAAAGACGATCTTACTCTGAAAAATTGAAGGGTAACGTCTCTCAACTATAACAAGCTCCCCCTTGACAGGCCAGGTCTGTAAAACAACACAAGACCAAGGATAAAAAGGAAGGCAAATGACAATCTCTAGCTTTAGCTTCTTAAATGAATAGTTTCCACTAGTGATTTACAATCTGCAATTTACAGGGAAAACCTAAAGAAAACTCTCCAGAACTTTCTTTTATGGATTTTGCCTCTTCAGGATATCATTCTCAACTGTTTCTTTCTAGCCTCAAGGGGGAAAACCTTCAGAAGATTCACCATTTTATTTCTGCTTCTTTCTCTCTATCAAAAATTACTCATGCTACTTGGCAACCTGACTGGTGGGTGTTGTTCAACCGCATTTCTATCAGCACAAGTATCATAATTCTTAATGTCAATGTGTCACAAATCAATCAGTAATCATACTCGGAAAAATTTCCAATCACAGACAATTCCAGAACTTCAAGTTATCATCTTACATGCAATTTTTATATGGAGATAATAAAAGCATTCTTCAATAAACTTTCTTTTGAGTGATCATCAAATCTGGAGAGATACAAAACCATAAAATGAGCATCACATATGCCAGAGGAGACTAAAAATTACAACAATCTTAGAAAGCCAATGCAGCCACGAAGTAAAATATGCATTAAACTCACTACGCAAGTCCGTGCATACCCTTATGCTCTGTCTTGAGCATTCTCACGTGCTAAAATCCCTTTCTCTATCTGCACCTTGGCACAAAACTTAATTTTCAACCACTCCTAACAACCTCGCACTGGACCCTCTCTCCAATCAGCAGAACCACAACTCAAGCACTTCCTGATCAATAGCTTCACTTTGTATCATGTGCCTTTTGGAACATTTTCCTCATTACCCCTTCTGCTTGTGGCACCACTCTGTCATCAATCTCATCACCTTAGCAACAGCATCTTTACACAACTAAAAGTCCTTCCTATTTTCTCATCATGCCTTATTGTCCTCCCTCATCAACTGTTCCAATCAGCATTTCCCACTTTTTGCGCAATTTAAGAGGGCTCAATGTTCATCCACCAAATCTTTTAAATATTTCAATCACAGAGAACCCAATATTGGAATATTTGTAGTTGCCCATATGCATCAGTATTGCATATTTCCCTTAGAGTATCGTATAGCAACTTAGAGCCATATAATACCAGAAGAAAAAACAGAACATTATTTTGATTATGAATGGTAAATATATGAGAGAATAAAGAAGAAGAAAAAGTCATTCCAAACTTATGGGATGAAATTTTTGAACTTTTTTTCTCAGTCATGGACAAGTGCTCTCAATCTAAGAATTAAAAATAATGACACTGGGATTCTGTGTGAAAAGCTAATTTCTCACCATCCAGTCAGATATTGGTCAGCATCGGGAGTGCAACTTAACACTGTTATAGATCAAGACATCTATGTTCAGCATTCAGAGGGAAAAAAAATGATCACATCCACTAGGCCTCTAAACTTTATAGGAAATGAATGAGATCGCAGAAAACAGATGAATTAGATAACCAAAGCACATTTCTCTGCTTGATGCTTGGAACCATCAACAGGGTGCTGGGAGTAAGGAGAACCCTATCTGTTACCTACCTAAACTCGCTCCATCTTGGCAAAAGAAATCTCATTCTCTTAATTGTCACATCTTCCAAACAACCTCACCAGGCCTACACTACCTAAACTCGCTCCATCTTGGCAAAAGTTCCAAACAACCTCACCAGGCCTACCTCCGCTTTTCATCTGCAAAGAGGTTAATCATCAACCTTTTTGACTCTGGATAAGTCATGTCAATATTCATGTTTTCTAATCAAAACTTGCAGACAATAAACTGCAATTGAATGCTTACACTGAAGTCAATAATTCAATTTCATAACGAGGCACAAGTAATGGTGATAAATTATGAAAAAAATAAAAAAAGTCAATCAAGCTTGCAAGTTGAAGACCTTCACTACAAGCTTTGTGCATGTTGCATGGAATACTATGCTACTTGACCAAAGGAAAAGGAAAGAAAGAAAAGAATGCAAGAAATAGTAAGCATAGTTAAGAAGCCACAACTAGACAAATTAGTTAAGCCAGCATCATTAAAAATAAGAAAAACTCCTCCAAATAATTTAAGACTGAAAAGAGAGTGAGATAGAAAGGGGATTTGACAGGAGAACTGTCCTTGTTCCTTGAGTTTCAAATAATTTATGCTTTCTGAAGGGGACACTGAGATTTCCAGTAACCTGGTGAAAATATCACCCGCACTATGTACCCAAACTGTGACAAAGTACCATAGTCTGGGATTCGGTAACAAGGAATCCAGATTGTATACCACTACAGCTAACAAAAGGCAGAACTACCAGTTATTCTATGAGAAAAGGGACAATATGGCCCATCAGAATGGATATTCAGGTCTTCTTTCCTTCCTATCAAATAACAGCAGAAGACAAGGTGAATTCTAAGGAACAGAATAGCATGGAAAAATTAGGAATGGTGATACATTGTTTTCTTCAAGCCCAAATATTACTTACTGCCATCAAATCTGAATCTTTTAACAGTTTAATCCAATGCAAATCTGATGTGTTGCAGATCTGAACCACACATGAAGACCCGCCTACAATCTTAACTTTTAACTGCTGATGCATATAAAATGAGACTGCAAATTCAAAAGCTAGTGTAGTTATCTTATGTCGCCCTTAGCAATTATAACATACACTTATACAATCTTATTTCCGCATCAACCCCAAGCTAGTGTAGTTATCTTATGTCGCCCTTGGCAATTATAATATACACTCATACAATCTCATTTCAGCATCAACCCAGGTTGGACCATAAGCAAAGCAAGATCCACGTTATCCAACTATTAATAAAGGAGAAACAACAATATAAAGCTAACAACTGGGATCCACGTTATCCAACTATTAATAAAGGAAAAACAACAATATAAAACACCTGTTTCAACAAGAAGTATAGAAAGCTACCTTCTTCAATTGGCAGGTGCTTTGCAATGACCAGGTTGGTCATGATTAAAGTAGCAACCACAAGAAAAGCATAGCATAGCATGCCAAGTCTGTTTTGCAATGTGAAACCTAACCACTGAATCTCTGTTGTGCACTCTGCACATGTGACGATATAAAGGAGAAACCAGTATGGGATTGATAAGCTAACATTCGCATCTGGACAGCAAAAACTCCTAAAAAAATCATGGAAATAGCACTTCAAGTTTTGACAAATCAAACCAGAGCCAAAGCTAATCTTCATTTGAAGGTCACTAATTTGACAAATCAAACCAGAGCCAAAGCTAAACCAGAGCCAAAGCTAACCTTCATTTGAAGGTCACTACCAGGGTGCGAAACAGATGGTTCACATACCAAGCAATGTAGGAAGTTCCGATAATCAGCACAATCCTAAAAGCATTTGAGAGCAAGGTTACATGGCAAAATCAAAGCGCAAAATGTCTCTATGATGCATTTGAAGTAGTGGAAGCACTAGAAGCATTAAGCATGTCTGGCCTGGTCTGATGATTTGCTCTCCCTTGTAACGACAAGAAAAACATTGGCTACAAAAGTCTGTTTTGCAATGTGAAACCTATCCAGTGATGATCTGAGTTGTGTAATCTACACAAGTCACAATATTAAAGACAAGCCTGTGTGGGATTTGATAAGCCACCATGTGCATCTGGACAGCAAAAATTCCTCAAGAAAGACATGGAAATATAACTTCGGCAGGACAGTGTAAAAGTTGATTTTCTTTTGAAGGTCACCACTAACAGGGTACAAAGAGGGTAGTTCACATATCAAGCAAAGTAAGAAGTTTCAATAATGAGAACAATCCTAGACGCATTTGAGAGCAAGGTTATGTGGCTAATCAAGGTGTAAAAAAATACAAATAATGCATTTGAAGCGGTGGAGGCACCAGAAGGATAAAGTATGTCTGGTCTGGGTAGAAGAAACATAGCCTGCAACAATGTTTTGAAATGTGAAACCTAACCACTAATAACCTTAGTCATGTAATCTGAACAAGTGACCATTTTTAAAGAGAAACCACGATTTTATAAGCCACCATTTAAAATAAGGACAGCAAAAATTCTTCAAGAAAGACATGGAAAACTTCCGGACTTGAAAAAACAAACTAGCGCCAAAGCCAATCTTCACTTAAAGGCCACTAAAACATTAACAGGGTTCCATAAAGGTGGTCCACATGGTAAGCAATGTAGGAAGTTTCAATAATCAGCAAAAAACTTAACATATTCGAGATGTTTAATGACTTAATCAGGGAGCAAAAATGTCTCTATGATGATTTAGATAAGAGGAAGCACCAGTAGAATAAAGTATGTCTGACCAGGGTGGACAATCAATCTCCCTTGTAACAAAAAAAACCGGTACCCAAGTTTTCAAATAGGGAAGACAATGGACCTATTATTCCCAGAAAAAAAGCTGCATGGTGGGAAATTTGTGGACTCAGTTCCCCCAGCACTACAGTTCAGTGGTCCAAATTCCCATCCATAAGGATTTTCTTGTGGTCAAAGGATGATGGGCCTGTCTTTAATCCTAGCAGAAATAAGGAGGTTAGCTGCTGTCTTGGAAGGTAGAATTTTTCATTGTTGTTGTAAGGCAAGCAAATAAGATCCTTCAATAAAATCACACCTGATGCTCCAGAAACATACAAGCACCCATTATTTACATATTGTTAACTCAAGACGGGAAACAGGAGCGGAAAGGAAAACCTTGTGATTTATGATCTTACCAGTTGAAAGCCAATCACAGAACTTTATGGATTCTTTTGCATGATGAAATTAAAACTCAACACGATGTGAAGATTTAATGAATAAAAAATAGGCTGTGAGCAGACTTTGCAAATGTAAATAAACAAACTAAAAGCCAGATGAGTACTCTTCACGTGTAATGACCATAATAATGGCATAAAGTCATAAATTATATATAAGATAACAGACTTTAAGTCAATAGCTATACGCTTCCCTGCATACAATTAAAAACTCAACACAATATTTTCCCTTCATTTTGTTAGCAACCCAACATACAAATATTAAAAGAATAAAAGAGATGAGTATATGGAAACACAAAGGTCAAGGCCTCTTTTGATGACCACTCTACGACAGGTAGAAACTACAGTCACCTCCATTTTGGAGATAATTGAAAAGAGAGTAAATTCATGTAAAGCTATTTAAAAAGCATATATTCTATATCTTAAACAATTCTCTTCAAGATTCAGAGACAGCAGATAAACAGAAACTTCATAGGGAACTTCCACGTCAAGATCTCAGACAGATATAGTAATGACAGTAGCAGTACATAGCTATAGAGAAAGCTAGTAGAGTTGGGTTTGAGGAGAATGTGAACGATAAGGAAAAGCCTACTGATAAACAGAACTTTTCAAGGAGCAACTTCCCATAGTCATTTTATTAATCATGGAAAGTTACATCACATATTCCACAAGATCAATAAATCCAAAACTACAAAAGCAATTCCAGAACTGAACTAGAGAGATTGAACAGAACTCACTAGGCAAGTTTGCAAATATCCTCGTATTCAACAGCCTTAAGCACTCTCCCGTCATAAATTCCCTTCTCTATCTGCATCTTGGCACAAAACTTCTCCGTATCCACTCCCAATAACCTGGCATTTGAACCTCTATATGCCCCATTCACTATTTTCACCAAACCCCCAATCTGCGGAATCACAGTCTCAAGCTCTTCCTGATCAACCCTCAACTTGTGCTTATTCTCAAGAATCTCAATTTCAGCAACATACTTATCAATCACTTCCCTCACTACCCCTTTCTGCTTATAATACCCTTTATCTGCCAACGCCTTACTCATAACCTTAACGATAATCCCTTCAAACAACCAATAATCCTTTCTATTAGTCCTCTCCTTTGCCTTCTCTTCCTCTTTCATCAACTCCTCCAACGCCGATTTCCCACTTTTACCTCTAATACCACCTTCCTTATTTTTCCCCATCTTCCTCTCCTTATCCTCAACGTCCTCAAAAACCAATCTAGAACTAAAACTCTCACCTGTCTCCTTTCCAACATTATTACTCTTCGAACCAAGGGCAAACCCAACCTTCACCCCGCTGTCCAATTTCAACTCCCTCGCTGGCCGCACTTCACCACTATCCACACTGTCATTTTTAACAGTCAAAAACTCTTCAGCCTTCTCAATCTGCTTTTTAATTTCCCTCTCCTGCTTCTCCTCCTCTGCTAAATCCGCCCTGACTCTCTTACTCTTCGCATTCTCCTTAAAAATCGTCTCCGAATCCCTATCAATATAAGTCATAAACCACCCTTTCGGCGTCTCATCGACTTTACACTTTCCAGTTCTTCCCAGATGCTTAACAAACTCC